AGAAGTGTATAAGAGACAGAGAAATTACCCGCTGTGGTCTAGTCTAGGCATGAAGACAATGGCGATACGACCTCGAAGCACAGTAACATCAAAATATTAATGCAATATATATACAAAGTATGTACGATTGAAACCTGGGGTGGGTCAGGTACCGAAATGACCATTTTATATTTTAAGTGCTGCAGTTACTCCATACATAAGTGTAAGCCAAATTACGGTTATCCGAGAAGACTTATTACGTCAACATACAAAAGAGCGAGCCGTGGCGGTGATATATGGCGATTGATACGGCGCCCCTCTGAACCGCGCGACCCTATCTCAGACTCAACCATTCGACTAAGAGAAAACAAATAAAGTAAGATGATAAATTAAGAAACATGCAAAAGGTGAATGTTGACATGTATTAAAGCTTATATCAGTTATAATCTCAGTTTATTCTGTTTTACTCTTGACTACGCGTACGTAACTCTACGAAATGTGTCTAAGTGGTTAGGAGAGCGAAATTGGAATTGAGTGGGGTGTGGAAGGTACCGTACATGTTAAGAAAGGTAGAAGTCGGTGTAATTGGAGGGGAAAATGTGAGAGACAGCAATTTTGACAAAGACACAAAGTAGGAGTTGATGTGGATGTGATGACAAGACAAGTAGACGTGCCATGGTCAGGAGTGGGGTTTTGTAAATAATAAGGTATGGTTATGGAGTAGCTGAGTTATTCTTGTTTGAATCCCAAAAGAAGTCTTGATACTGCTGTTAAAATTGCCGAAACATCCTGACCATTTAATTGATGCGACCGCCCGCGCTTCAAATCGCTTTCTTCCAACTATATGTTGTCTGGATGTTGCGCGTTTCCGGGGAAGCAGTCCACTATAACAAAACACTGTCAAGGACGTAGGTGCCGCGGTTGATTTGTAAAACTTGAGCTATGTCCACTGTAGTGTTGTGCAGTCGTCGTATTACATTTGCTGTTTCTCCAACATGGAAGTTTCGATTAGTGGTACTGATGAGCATGTATACGTAAAAAGTGAATTAAGTGACTTTTCTAGGAAACCAAAAAATAATATCAGAAGCAAGTGAAATATGATAAATAGCAAATAAACATGATCTATATTTTAATCCAGATTGCTACACACTCTCTAACTATTTAATTGTTGTTATAGTCTCAGATCAGCCTAATTGAAGAATAATATGAAAATCTTCCAAATATCTACAGGATTCATAGGAGCAAGGTACTCAAACATATTGGAATGAAGTACTTGACGATTGTATCTACTTTGTTGAAATGTATTTCCACGTACGTGTATGCTTTCAACTGTAAACGACGCAGTGTCTTTTGCCGGGTGGATGACGGTACTAGGTAACGTGACTTGTGACGAGTATAACTCCCTATTATTACATATAAATATATTTGTAAAAATATTAATACTATTAAGTATGCGAAATTTATTTCCTAAAGCAGGTAATTTGCAATGACAAATGACATCTATTATTTATATTTTGCTTTCATAGCTGTTGCTATTGGCTTGACATGTTCAACAAATGTATCTGTCTTGGGGTTAATATTTGGCGACCATCTTAGTAACGCAATTGGATTTGTCACCCTTTTACTTATGATTGGCACCGCAACCCCTCCAGCTACACAGGTACAAAAGATGATAATTAAAAATTACTTTACTACTCATACTACTACCTGTTTTAGTACTACTGCAGCTTAATAATACTAGTGCTGTTGTTTCTGCTTTGAAAACGTTTCTTATAGTATTTGATTTCAATTTTTTAATGAATTTATTTTTTTAAATTTATATTATTATTTATCCCTTTAATGGATTTTATGCAGATATTTGAATAAACTCCGTATTGGGAGATGTTACATCACTACAACTACCATACTATTACTACCATACTATTACTACCACTACTACTACTACTACCCCCCCCCCCACCGGGGGTGGCGCCGACGGGGGGGGGGTGGGAGGGGGGTCGAGGTCCCCGACGATGGGGCCGATGCCCCGAGGAGGGGTCAGATTTCCCCGACGAAAGCAAAGTGGGCGTGGTCGAACTTCGATTAAAAGATTACAAAAGTGGTCCTGAGGGCGAAGCCCCCTAAAATTTTGACAATTTAGGGGTTTCAAAGGATTATTTAATCGATTTTATAATCTACTAATATGTAGAAAATTGAAGCCCTGTGCTTCATCTTTTTTTTTGTTTTTGCCTTCGTTTCGAATACATCTTACTGTCGACCATATCACACCTCCATCCCTGGGCTCAGTGAGGATTCTTTGAATCCGCCCTTGGATAATATATTATTATATCGATTTGTTTAGATGAGAAAGGAGTCCAAGACCATGCGGAATAGACTGCGTAAATTCACCTACCCCATAAAACTATTGCTAACATCGGATTATATTATTAAGAATAAACGATAGCCCCAAAAGAAGAATCATTTTCAAGTTGAAATATATAAAAAAAAAAAAACGTTGTGCTTCAAAATTTTGGGGGATTGAAAACATTGTTGTATAACCACGCGAGGGATGTAAACACTCACTGCGTCTGACGATGGTCGTACGACGACCCCAACTCCACTCCCTGTGAGCCTAGACGACGCGACGCTGTCTGCTAATTGTGGGTGGCAGTCTGAACGGATCGTCATTAAAAACGATCCGTTGCGCGCGCGTCGTGTCATTGCGTTTGACATAAAAACGCGTCGGCCGTCGGGCGTAGTGAGTGCCGCGGCTTTTTGTTCATTGTTCCATGCAAAATACCAAAACAAGTCATAAATTATTTTTGAAATTAACTTAACCAAGTAACATTAAAATTATCAGCCTGAACATAGAAATTAGTATATTTAAAAAGTGTTTATCCTTCATTTTACAGCGAAAAATGATAGAAAAACACTTCCATTATTATTTTATCATAATTATCCACATCAAAAGTCAGGGTACACATTTTTTTAACTTAATAGATTCTATGCTTAGGTTAATAATTCGTATATTACTGCAAAATGAGCAAGTTAACTTCAAAATATTTTTTTGTCTTAGGCAGAGGGTAGAGGTTAATATCAGATGTTGTTTATGGGGGTTGTACACGTACAAGGGTTGCCATACTTTCACGTATTAATAACAGTAAATTGTGATGACACTTTAAATTTAATAATGAAATATGAATAAGAATAATTTGATAGTGCTTCTACTGGTAATGATGATGATGGTATGATTGATAAATCGCCATTGTCGTTATCAATATCATTATCATTAAGAACATTGTCGTCGTCGTCGTCGCCATTATCATTATCATCACCACCATCAATATCGTCGTCATCATCGTTATCATTATAATTTTTAGTATTAGAAGTACTGTATTATTATTATTATTATTATTATTATTATTATTATTATTATTATTATTATTATTATTATTATTATTATTATTATTATTATTATTATTATTATATTGTTATTATCTGTATGTACAAAACAAAAACCCCACAGCAAATGTCTTTATATTACTTCTGATATGATATATTGTAATATTATTAATAAATCGTGTATTAAAAAGAGATAGGTCTAATAATAGTAAAAGCGAAAATAAATAAAAACGAATTGTTCCCCTAACACAAACATGAGTTGTTTGGAATACCTTATGCTAGTGATTCTGCAAGGATTCATTGAATATTCGAATATTATTGCATTATACGTGTTGTTACATAGCTTGTTCTGAATTTCATTACTGCACAGTATACTTTATACGCAATATCCCTAATAGGCCTATATACTTTCGCAATTATCCGGATGAATAAACATAGGCCTTAAGTTAACCACTATATATAGACATTTATTTAGCCTGACTACGTCGTCAATATAATTCATCTTACGTGACTTCAGCATCATCTCCGATAGTATGTTACCATAGTAATAAGATAAATTACATAGATGCGAATTTGTGATTACGGTCCCGTCGCATATCAGAGTGTTTCTCATTATCCGCTCACAGAACAGCTCTGTATGACATGTTCTTAGACATGAATTTGTGATTACGGGCCCGTAGCATTTCAAAGCGTTTCGCATTAATGGATTCATTGAGTTGAGCAATGTGTACGTCCGTAACCACGCGATTTGAACAGTTGACAAGTCCTATAGGCAGGTTGCTATACCCAAGGTTTCTCTAGATATTGTGCATGGTGCAAAACTAACACAATAACAAAATTATTATCTAAGTGATGCCTTGATGACGTTTAGAATGAAGAGAAAAGGATCGTTTTTTAATTACGATAATGACGAACAAACCTAATTATCCTTAAGCATAACTTAAGGTAATTTCATTCCCCGAGTTGAGTTCGCTCATCGCCCGCGCCATGGCCATCAGCTATATCTATTCCGCTTAACACATTGTGTAAACCAACGAAACGGAAAGAACTGAAAGACACCGGGTAAAGATAATTATGAAGCAAACATGGAAACGTAGATATATATCCTTAGGTTTACATTTGTAACCGTATTTACATAATCGCACAACCATCAATTAGACGAGCATAAATCATGTTTTCTAATCAAATGTAATAAATATTTTAAGTAATGAACATATACATAACGATACTTAATCAACCGGGCTAATAAGTGGATGTTGCAGTAATTGACAGTGTTGTTTGGTTTACTCTTTAATAATAATTATGACCTTGAATACAGCACGTAAATTACACACGTCTCCAACATACTAATGATGATGATGGAGAAGATAATAATGTTAACGAACTAATATAGGTGGTAGGCCTCATGTCCAGTGTGCCTAAAAAACTGGTCGATTTTGTGCCATATGGAGCTATTTTGAGACATTTCAGCGCGTATACCATAAGATAAAAAGATGATCCCCCTTTTGGTCAGAAGAGTTGTGGCCAACTGAAGTGGGCATGGTCATGGGTTTTTTGTTTTTTTTTGTTTCGTGTGTTTCAGTGGCGTGGAGGTGCGGAGGGGGTGGGGTGCGCGATCACCTTATTTTGCGTACCAGCGTCCCCTCATGTCATCATCAAGTGCCTCAATCAGACCCCCCCCCCACCATTTCTATGGGCGGCCATTAGGGCCAAAATAGACAAACATTGGCGTACGAACAATCCCACTCTCACGCAGTAAGGACAATAAAAATTGCCGTAAGGACAATACAAATTCTCGTAAGGACAAGACAATCACTCGCCGTACAGACAAGACACAATTCGCCGTAAAGACAAGACAAACACTCGTAAGCACAAGACAATCTCTCGCCGTACAGACAAGACAATTCGCCGTACATGACAAGACAATTCGCCTTAATGACAAGACAATTTATAACGTTGAGGGCAACATATTTTAAGAGGCGACAAGGTTATTTTTAGCAAAGAAACAAAACTTTTCTGACGGCGGTGCGAAACTTTTGATTTATTTAACACGTACAGTCGACAACTCCGACCGAGCATCTCTTTCGCAACTAGACCAGTGGTGGCGCCAAAGGGGGCTGGGGGGCTTTAGCCACCCCGACGGGGGGCGGGGGCTATGCTTCCCCGATGGGTAGAAGACGAATACATTTTGTCGGGAAATAAGCAAATTAAAAAAAATATATATTTACATGTAATGTTCGTTTAGTCACCACATTGTTTTCATTAAACTATTTGTGTTATTATAGCCATAATATCGACGCTGGTTCGAACGGCACGCTCGCTACGGTTCTGGTGGTAGAACAAGTCTTATCGGATAAGGACTATAAACCGTAGGCCCAGTGTATACAATGGCTCGTATGCACTATAAAGAACCCAGTACATCCTTCGAGACGAGTAGGAGAATACCCCGGTGTACTGGATAGACAGCCTCTGTGGTGGACGGCGAGAGTTGCGGGTACCGGGTTACCGGGTAGCACAGAAACGAAGGGACCCTTAGGGGCGAAGAAAGTCATTGATCGAATTCCTAGTCCACATATCAAGCGCCTTGAGCATCTTACATTAGATGGATATGTGCGCTATATAAAACTACATTATTATTATTATTATTATTTTTATTATTATTATTATTATTAAAATATTAATAATAGGCCTAATAATAATAATAATAATAATAGTTCAATGAGACTAATTAAAAGTAATTTGTGTTCTGTTATGACAAATGCTCGTTGGGATAGCCTCATGATGCTTGAAATACATCGTATTGGTGAAGCAACTTCGACCATGACAGCGTGGTTAACAGATTTCATGCAAAATTTTCAAAATGTAAAATTTCACTTTCAAGAATGAGGATTTAAAAATAAATTAGATGGTTACATTGCATACGCTTTGTTTCCTGTTTTATTCAAAATGTTTTGGTTTTGGAAGCTGATTTCGACATTAGAAAACATATAGCCTACATGAAGTCATATAGTAACTCGATAAGTAATTAAAATTGGCCATAATTCGTCAAATATCCGTGGCTTCCCTGGATCCCCGCCGGGGCCCTAGGCGGCCCCCATGGCCCATTCGCTCCACTAGCCCCCCCCCCCCCCTGTCGGGGCCTCAGGCCATGTGGTCTATAGAACACTAGTTTATTTCTACAAGTCCTCTGGTCTTCTTTTACAAAACTATTAAAATGACAAATTGTGGCTGATACAATTAGAGATATATAATATAAAATAATCAATATTATTGTGATAGACTTAGAGTTAAGGGTCGATTATCACATAGCTTATGTAACTTCCACTTAATTACTCTAGTCTAAGCTGTGATCAAAGTGGTGATGAAAAGTGATTAGGGTTTGATAAATAAACAAACAAAAACAAAGTTAAAGTATTGATAGCTATAATAGTGTATTAGGCTACAAAATGAACATGAACAAAAATTTATATCTTTTACTAGCCTAT